ATCGAACAGCTCACGTCATGAACAGATCATGTGGTATTAATTAGGGCTGTTGTTCGTGTTCTAATGGCATGTGGTATTTATCGAACAGTTCACGTCACGAACAGATCATGTGGTATTAATTAGGGCCGTTGTTCGTGTTCTTATGGAATGTGGTATTAACGAGGGCCGATGTTCGTGTTATTATGGCATGTCGTATTAACGAGGGCCTATGTTCGTATTCTTATGGCACGTGGTATAAATGAGGGCTTATGTTCATCTACTAAGGTAACTGTACTGCTGGAAATAGTCAAAGACAGGCCCGATGGGCGTGTTCTTATGGCATGCGGTATTAACGAGGGCCGAAGTTCGTGTTCTTATGGCATGTGGTATTGATGATGGCCGATGTTCACCTACTAACGCTTTCTGTACTGCCTGGACAGAAAGCGCATCGACATCTAATAATTATAAACCCCTTCGTCCGGTGGCGCAAACAATAAGCAAATTGCACCTACGCAGTTCACATCACTTGCAGAAGGGCATAGATCACCTATGCAGTTCACATTTGCAAAAAGGCTTAGATCACATCACTCTCAAATGGCACCTATGCAGTTCACATCAATTCGGAGTGATACAACCTGCACAGGGCAAGAGAATGAGGAGTGATAGTGAGCCTCTAAACGCTCCCAAACGTGCCAGACGTTGAATTGGAGTGTTTTTGTATATTTATGTTTATAAATGATATTAAACTGTTAGCTCATTATGTCACTTCTCTATTCGACGTCAATAACTACGGCTAGGGCTGCACACTTACCCCTCCACCATACCAGATCAGTTGATCTCAATTCTGTTCCAAAATTCTGTTCCAGAAACCAAAATAGAACATTTATGTTAGTAAACATACCCCTCCACCATACCAGATAGATTTTAAGTCAACCCAGGCATAACTACTGCCCCAAAAGCCTGTCTCAAAGTTGTCTCAATTCTGTTCCAGAATCCCAACTACTCTGAAACCAAAATGGAACATTGCCCCCAGAGCCTTTTCTGAGCTTGCTAGGGCCACCAAACTTTTCATGGACACTCCTGGTATCAATACCAACAGACTCTGATCGGTTTCAACTCAGTTTAGGCGATTTTAGGGTAAAGTTCATTTTCGTTCATTTCGTTCATTTCATGAACCAGGGGATCATTTGGCACTTCTGAGTGGCTGAACATGTTAGTAAACATACCCCTCCACCATACCAGATAGATTTTAAGTCAACCCAGGCATAACTACTGCCCCAAAAGCCTGTCTCAAAGTTGTCTCAATTCTGTTCCAGAATCCCAACTACTCTGAAACCAAAATGGAACATTGCCCCCAGAGCCTTTTCTGAGCTTGCTAGGGCCACCAAACTTTTCATGGACACTCCTGGTATCAATACCAACAGACTCTGATCGGTTTCAACTCAGTTTAGGCGATTTTAGGGTAAAGTTCATTTTTGTTCATTTCGTTCATTTCATGAACCAGGGGATCATTTGGCACTTCTGAGTGGCTGAACATGTTAGTAAACATACCCCTCCACCATACCAGATAGATTTTAAGTCAACCCAGGCATAACTACTGCCCCAAAAGCCTGTCTCAAAGTTGTCTCAATTCTGTTCCAGAATCCCAACTACTCTGAAACCAAAATGGAACATTGCCCCCAGAGCCTTTTCTGAGCTTGCTAGGGCCGCCAAACTTTTCATGGACACTCCTGGTATCAATACCAACAGACTCTGATCGGTTTCAACTCAGTTTAGGCGATTTTAGGGTAAAGTTCATTTTCGTTCATTTCGTTCATTTCATGAACCAGGGGATCATTTGGCACTTCTGAGTGGCTGAACATGTTAGTAAACATACCCCTCCACCATACCAGATAGATTTTAAGTCAACCCAGGCATAACTACTGCCCCAAAAGCCTGTCTCAAAGTTGTCTCAATTCTGTTCCAGAATCCCAACTACTCTGAAACCAAAATGGAACATTACCCCCAGAGCCTTTTCTGAGCTTGCTAGGGCCACCAAACTTTTCATGGACACTCCTGGTATCAATACCAACAGACTCTGATCGGTTTCAACTCAGTTTAGGCGATTTTAGGGTAAAGTTCATTTTCGTTCATTTCGTTCATTTCATGAACCAGGGGATCATTTGGCACTTCTGAGTGGCTGAACATGTTAGTAAACATACCCCTCCACCATACCAGATAGATTTTAAGTCAACCCAGGCATAACTACTGCCCCAAAAGCCTGTCTCAAAGTTGTCTCAATTCTGTTCCAGAATCCCAACTACTCTGAAACCAAAATGGAACATTGCCCCCAGAGCCTTTTCTGAGCTTGCTAGGGCCACCAAACTTTTCATGGACACTCCTGGTATCAATACCAACAGACTCTGATCGGTTTCAACTCAGTTTAGGCGATTTTAGGGTAAAGTTCATTTTTGTTCATTTCGTTCATTTCATGAACCAGGGGATCATTTGGCACTTCTGAGTGGCTGAACATGTTAGTAAACATACCCCTCCACCATACCAGATAGATTTTAAGTCAACCCAGGCATAACTACTGCCCCAAAAGCCTGTCTCAAAGTTGTCTCAATTCTGTTCCAGAATCCCAACTACTCTGAAACCAAAATGGAACATTGCCCCCAGAGCCTTTTCTGAGCTTGCTAGGGCCGCCAAACTTTTCATGGACACTCCTGGTATCAATACCAACAGACTCTGATCGGTTTCAACTCAGTTTAGGCGATTTTAGGGTAAAGTTCATTTTCGTTCATTTCGTTCATTTCATGAACCAGGGGATCATTTGGCACTTCTGAGTGGCTGAACATGTTAGTAAACATACCCCTCCACCATACCAGATAGATTTTAAGTCAACCCAGGCATAACTACTGCCCCAAAAGCCTGTCTCAAAGTTGTCTCAATTCTGTTCCAGAATCCCAACTACTCTGAAACCAAAATGGAACATTGCCCCCAGAGCCTTTTCTGAGCTTGCTAGGGCCACCAAACTTTTCATGGACACTCCTGGTATCAATACCAACAGACTCTGATCGGTTTCAACTCAGTTTAGGCGATTTTAGGGTAAAGTTCATTTTCGTTCATTTCGTTCATTTCATGAACCAGGGGATCATTTGGCACTTCTGAGTGGCTGAACATGTTAGTAAACATACCCCTCCACCATACCAGATAGATTTTAAGTCAACCCAGGCATAACTACTGCCCCAAAAGCCTGTCTCAAAGTTGTCTCAATTCTGTTCCAGAATCCCAACTACTCTGAAACCAAAATGGAACATTGCCCCCAGAGCCTTTTCTGAGCTTGCTAGGGCCGCCAAACTTTTCATGGACACTCCTGGTATCAATACCAACAGACTCTGATCGGTTTCAACTCAGTTTAGGCGATTTTAGGGTAAAGTTCATTTTCGTTCATTTCGTTCATTTCATGAACCAGGGGATCATTTGGCACTTCTGAGCGGCTGAACATGTTAGTAAACATACCCCTCCACCATACCAGATAGATTTTAAGTCAACCCAGGCATAACTACTGCCCCAAAAGCCTGTCTCAAAGTTGTCTCAATTCTGTTCCAGAATCCCAACTACTCTGAAACCAAAATGGAACATTGCCCCCAGAGCCTTTTCTGAGCTTGCTAGGGCCACCAAACTTTTCATGGACACTCCTGGTATCAATACCAACAGACTCTGATCGGTTTCAACTCAGTTTAGGCGATTTTAGGGTAAAGTTCATTTTTGTTCATTTCGTTCATTTCATGAACCAGGGGATCATTTGGCACTTCTGAGTGGCTGAACATGTTAGTAAACATACCCCTCCACCATACCATATAGATTTTAAGTCAACCCAGGCATAACTACTGCCCCAAAAGCCTGTTCCAAAGTTGTCTCAATTCTGTCTCAATTCTGTCTCACTGTTCCAAAATTGTTCCAAAATCTCGGATTCATGAACTCATTTCGCGCCCAGAAAAGAATCACATACCAAATTACTGTAGCAAGGCAAACCGCGTCGAAAATGCATGCGCGGTTTAGTAAGTTGATCAGTTGATGTCCAACAAACATCTACCAACTGCAAGTATGCTTATAATTGTCCTTGGGATCTGTACAGATCTGCTGGTAATCCTTCATATTACATTGATTATGATTTAGACATGAGCTAATTCTCGACTAGATCAATTCAACTGCATCTTCTGGAAGAATAGAAAGCTCACCTTTACTGGTCGTAGCTAAGATCGAGCTAATGACGGATATTAAAGAAGAATGGGAACAGGCGGACATATTTGGGCAAAATGGTCAGCGGTTTCATCGAAAGTTGTCATCACCATTACTGATTTAGAAACAACTCAACACAGAATTTAATGGACAGATTTGAATATTGGACTTTGGACTACCACAAAACCAACCTAAGTCTATTAACCATCACTATGTTACTTTATTGTACGGTCGCACACCATGTCGTGCTTTGGTAACCAAGTCAAAACGTCATAACATCTCATTAAAATTCCGCCCCTAAGGCTCAAGCGGCTTAACCTGTATTTAGGCATTATAGTGGCTTAATTAAATTAATATATGCCAAGATTGTGCTATTATGGTATGGTTGTTCATTATTTATGACCATTGACCAATGACCAGTACGTAAAAATTAAAAATGATATTGAAAGGATTGTAAAAATATATTGTGAATAGACGATACTAAACATTGCAATTTGCATTGTAATATCAAATACAAAATGGCTATGTAAAATACACAAAGTCTTAGAAAAAGAAATGATAACGATAGTCCTAAAGCTTTACACAAAAATTCTACCATTCTCACTTGAAATGTTTGAGTGGACAGCAATCACGCTCTGTTTATAGAGTCCTTCTCACTTGAAATGTTTGAGTGGACAGCAATCACACTCTGTTTATAGAGTTCTTCTCACTTGAAATGTTTGAGTGGACAGCAATCACGCTCTGTTTATAGAGTCCTTCTCACTTGAAATGTTTGAGTGGACTGCAATCACGCTCTGTTTATAGAGTCCTTCTCACTTGAAATGTTTGAGTGGACTGCAATCACGCTCTGTTTATAGAGTCCTTCTCACTTGAAATGTTTGAGTGGACAGCAATCACGCTCTGTTTATAGAATACCTCTCACCCACACTTGTAGTGCCAGTATTCTGCATCTCTCCATCTCCAACTCTACCAATCCTCCCCATCCAATTCTTGGTGCATCTCCTGATGTAAGCACCAAAACTAGCGCTGGTGAAATAATACAGAATAGGATTGCACATGGTGTTAAGGTAGTTAACGTAGCTAGCACCAGCATACAACTGTGCAACTGTGCTGTTTCTGTATTTAACTTCAGCGCTTGGTTTCATGACGTTCATCAAGACGGTGTAGAGGAGGTAAGGAACAAAGGAAATGAGGTGGAGGATGGACACACTCAAGACCAGTGCAATCTTTTGTTTTTGTAAGGTGCTGTTCTTTTTGAGGAACGAGAGTATCCCGATGGTGACGACGAAGATGACAATAAAGGGAATTAAGACGAAGAGAATGGATGTGATGTTGTCTAGGATCATCCACAGGTTTTGTTTGGAAGATTTTGTCCACTTTGATATGCACCTGATAAATATATATATATAGCAGATTTTTGTTCATGAACAGAAATAATGAAAGCTTTAAATGACTTTACGGGACATTTACATACTTATAATGAAGTGATCAAATATGATGTCAGATATTGTTAACAAAATTAAAAAACCTGCATATTCTTGTATCGAAAACAATTTCCCTCTCTCTGATGATCAAATATTCGATCCCTGGAACCAAGCCACAGATCCAAGCTCCGAGCACCAGAAAGTACCCCGTCATATCACTACCAGAAAGCGTCTTCAGAGGATCCAAGAGGATCATCAGTTTGTTGACAGTCAAAGCGCACACAACTAAGGAATTAAAGATGGGTACAACAAACTGGAGGTAGCTGGAGAGGGTGCAGACGAGGAGGTTGTCCTGAAAGAGGGCGCCCCTGGCGTGGAGTGTCACCATACCTGGAATCACCACTAAAAGTGTGTTGAGAATGTCAGATATCGCCAGGTTCTTTATCAGGACCAGGGACAGTTTGTCGAGTTTGATAGCGTTGTGTTTTATCGTGCCGACGAGGATGATGGAGTTTCCTGACAGAGATACGATAGCAGTGAGCAGAGACCAGATGATGAGAGCAGCTGTGCTGTAAGGAGGGAGCTGGTAGTTGATGTAGGGGATAGATTGGTTCGGGTATGAAGCAGGTGTCCCATCAGACATCATATTTCTTTGGTATGTGATTCGGGATTACTTCTTCTCAATGCACAAATAACAACAACAGATGAAATGTTTCTAGAGAATGTTTCTTAAATGAAAGATATCTGTAAAGCTGTAAGAGTAGGATCCAGTACAATTAACATGCAAGGAATTCAGAAGACAAAATGTGTAATAATATCAGCTAACGAGTTTTTACATACAACTAACTATTATATAGCTCTAGTTCGGATATAACCCTAGTACAGATCTACTAAACAAACGATTTAGTACCATGACACAATTTTTTCAAGAACTCGCTACTTATCTACAAGGCTGATGATTGAAACAACGGTTACATTATGTATAATGTTTAAGGCAAATTGAGGATTATTCTTGTCGGAAAAAACTCCCATCGTCTATAATAATTGATCTAATCTAAAATCTTAAGTGCTTGCTACAGATGACTGCTTAACTGACGGAAGAATTTATAAATCAATCCAATCTTCCAACTGTCAACTCCTGACAAAAATCTATAATTTATAGAATCGTATAATTGCGATAAAGACTGTAAGTGCTGAAGCTGTCAACTGGAGGTTAACTTAAGTTCAGAATTTAAACCACTATTTTGAGTGAGCTTTGGAAGTGTCTTAATTTTACCAGACAACTATGATCACATTTATTTCCATTTTTATATTTTGACACGACCAAATAGTGAATAAAAAAGTCTTTAACGAATATTTTTCAGAGCCAGAAGTTTCATTCTACGAAAATACAAGAAGCCTGGTTGAGCACGAAACGACGGTTTGATGCTCGAAATGACGGTTTGATGACAGAATCTTGTTAAATTTGAGAATATTAAAATAAATAAGCTGAGCTGGAAATTGTAACACTTTTGTTTTCAGCAAATATTGTATGTTTAACCAAAGGAAAAAAACACTTAGAGCATTCTCATTTGTACTATCCGAAATAATTTAACCACTTTCAAAGCTCTGGAATAAGGAAAACTTCAGAGGGACAAATCTATTTAAAAATCATAATGTTAATTGCAATATTATTCTACTGATGTTGTGATAAGTTTATGATTACGAATCCAAGCTTAATTAGTTAAATTTTAAATTCAACGACAAACTAAATTTGGATACTACTTGTGATGAACTCTAGAAGGATGGGGTGGTAATACTCGGTCTGGCCGTCTGGAAGCCCATAGAATTCCAGTTCAGAAACCGAGTAAGGAGGTGCGGCTACTGATGAGAAGCCTCCTTAAAGTTTATTTGGGTTAGAAACGACATCTGGGTCCCTACCCTCGCACAAGATTATTCTCAATTTTCTTGTTGTGTTCCACAACTATACTTCTGTATACTTCAGTGATTGGGCTGATGACTCCAGTGAAAGGGCTGGTGACTCTAGTGAAAGTGCTGGTGACGATGAGAAAGACCATAAACCAGGGATTCCTTCGGGAGCATGTAAGATTATATCCAAAGTTTGTTCGCCAATGGGGTGTGTCTGGGTGTCCAAGATCTTCAAGGTGGGTGCTACTTGTGATGAACTCTAGAAGGATGGGGTGGTAATACTCGGTCTGGCCGTCTGGAAGCCCATAGAATTCCAGTTCAGAAACCGAGTAAGGAGGTGCGGCTACTGATGAGAAGCCTCCTTAAAGTTTATTTGGGTTAGAAACGACATCTGGGTCCCTACCCTCGCACAAGATTATTCTCAATTTTCTTGTTGTGTTCCACAACTATACTTCTGTATACTTCAGTGATTGGGCTGATGACTCCAGTGAAAGGGCTGGTGACTCTAGTGAAAGTGCTGGTGACGATGAGAAAGACCATAAACCAGGGATTCCTTCGGGAGCATGTAAGATTATATCCAAAGTTTGTTCGCCAATGGGGTGTGTCTGGGTGTCAAAGATCTTCAAGGTGGGTGCTACTTGTGATGAACTCTAGAAGGATGGGGTGGTAATACTCGGTCTGGCCGTCTGGAAGCCCATAGAATTCCAGTTCAGAAACCGAGTAAGGAGGTGCGGCTACTGATGAGAAGCCTCCTTAAAGTTTATTTGGGTTAGAAACGACATCTGGGTCCCTACCCTCGCACAAGATTATTCTCAATTTTCTTGTTGTGTTCCACAACTATACTTCTGTATACTTCAGTGATTGGGCTGATGACTCCAGTGAAAGGGCTGGTGACTCTAGTGAAAGTGCTGGTGACGATGAGAAAGACCATAAACCAGGGATTCCTTCGGGAGCATGTAAGATTATATCCAAAGTTTGTTCGCCAATGGGGTGTGTCTGGGTGTCAAAGATCTTCAAGGTGGGTGCTACTTGTGATGAACTCTAGAAGGATGGGGTGGTAATACTCGGTCTGGCCGTCTGGAAGCCCATAGAATTCCAGTTCAGAAACCGAGTAAGGAGGTGCGGCTACTGATGAGAAGCCTCCTTAAAGTTTATTTGGGTTAGAAACGACATCTGGGTCCCTACCCTCGCACAAGATTATTCTCAATTTTCTTGTTGTGTTCCACAACTATACTTCTGTATACTTCAGTGATTGGGCTGATGACTCCAGTGAAAGGGCTGGTGACTCTAGTGAAAGTGCTGGTGACGATGAGAAAGACCATAAACCAGGGATTCCTTCGGGAGCATGTAAGATTATATCCAAAGTTTGTTCGCCAATGGGGTGTGTCTGGGTGTCAAAGATCTTCAAGGTGGGTGCTACTTGTGATGAACTCTAGAAGGATGGGGTGGTAATACTCGGTCTGGCCGTCTGGAAGCCCATAGAATTCCAGTTCAGAAACCGAGTAAGGAGGTGCGGCTACTGATGAGAAGCCTCCTTAAAGTTTATTTGGGTTAGAAACGACATCTGGGTCCCTACCATTGCACAAGATTATTCTCAATTTTCTTGTTGTGTTCCACAACTATACTTCTGTATACTTCAGTGATTGGGCTGATGACTCCAGTGAAAGGGCTGGTGACTCTAGTGAAAGTGCTGGTGACGATGAGAAAGACCATAAACCAGGGATTCCTTCGGGAGCATGTAAGATTATATCCAAAGTTTGTTCGCCAATGGGGTGTGTCTGGGTGTCCAAGATCTTCAAGGTGGGTGCTACTTGTGATGAACTCTAGAAGGATGGGGTGGTAATACTCGGTCTGGCCGTCTGGAAGCCCATAGAATTCCAGTTCAGAAACCGAGTAAGGAGGTGCGGCTACTGATGAGAAGCCTCCTTAAAGTTTATTTGGGTTAGAAACGACATCTGGGTCCCTACCCTCGCACAAGATTATTCTCAATTTTCTTGTTGTGTTCCACAACTATACTTCTGTATACTTCAGTGATTGGGCTGATGACTCCAGTGAAAGGGCTGGTGACTCTAGTGAAAGTGCTGGTGACGATGAGAAAGACCATAAACCAGGGATTCCTTCGGGAGCATGTAAGATTATATCCAAAGTTTGTTCGCCAATGGGGTGTGTCTGGGTGTCAAAGATCTTCAAGGTGGGTGCTACTTGTGATGAACTCTAGAAGGATGGGGTGGTAATACTCGGTCTGGCCGTCTGGAAGCCCATAGAATTCCAGTTCAGAAACCGAGTAAGGAGGTGCGGCTACTGATGAGAAGCCTCCTTAAAGTTTATTTGGGTTAGAAACGACATCTGGGTCCCTACCCTCGCACAAGATTATTCTCAATTTTCTTGTTGTGTTCCACAACTATACTTCTGTATACTTCAGTGATTGGGCTGATGACTCCAGTGAAAGGGCTGGTGACTCTAGTGAAAGTGCTGGTGACGATGAGAAAGACCATAAACCAGGGATTCCTTCGGGAGCATGTAAGATTATATCCAAAGTTTGTTCGCCAATGGGGTGTGTCTGGGTGTCCAAGATCTTCAAGGTGGGTGCTACTTGTGATGAACTCTAGAAGGATGGGGTGGTAATACTCGGTCTGGCCGTCTGGAAGCCCATAGAATTCCAGTTCAGAAACCGAGTAAGGAGGTGCGGCTACTGATGAGAAGCCTCCTTAAAGTTTATTTGGGTTAGAAACGACATCTGGGTCCCTACCCTCGCACAAGATTATTCTCAATTTTCTTGTTGTGTTCCACAACTATACTTCTGTATACTTCAGTGATTGGGCTGATGACTCCAGTGAAAGGGCTGGTGACTCTAGTGAAAGTGCTGGTGACGATGAGAAAGACCATAAACCAGGGATTCCTTCGGGAGCATGTAAGATTATATCCAAAGTTTGTTCGCCAATGGGGTGTGTCTGGGTGTCAAAGATCTTCAAGGTGGGTGCTACTTGTGATGAACTCTAGAAGGATGGGGTGGTAATACTCGGTCTGGCCGTCTGGAAGCCCATAGAATTCCAGTTCAGAAACCGAGTAAGGAGGTGCGGCTACTGATGAGAAGCCTCCTTAAAGTTTATTTGGGTTAGAAACGACATCTGGGTCCCTACCCTCGCACAAGATTATTCTCAATTTTCTTGTTGTGTTCCACAACTATACTTCTGTATACTTCAGTGATTGTGCTGATGACTCCAGTGAAAGGGCTGGTGACTCTAGTGAAAGTGCTGGTGACGATGAGAAAGACCATAAACCAGGGATTCCTTCGGGAGCATGTAAGATTATATCCAAAGTTTGTTCGCCAATGGGGTGTGTCTGGGTGTCCAAGATCTTCAAGGTGGGTGCTACTTGTGATGAACTCTAGAAGGATGGGGTGGTAATACTCGGTCTGGCCGTCTGGAAGCCCATAGAATTCCAGTTCAGAAACCGAGTAAGGAGGTGCGGCTACTGATGAGAAGCCTCCTTAAAGTTTATTTGGGTTAGAAACGACATCTGGGTCCCTACCCTCGCACAAGATTATTCTCAATTTTCTTGTTGTGTTCCACAACTATACTTCTGTATACTTCAGTGATTGGGCTGATGACTCCAGTGAAAGGGCTGGTGACTCTAGTGAAAGTGCTGGTGACGATGAGAAAGACCATAAACCAGGGATTCCTTCGGGAGCATGTAAGATTATATCCAAAGTTTGTTCGCCAATGGGGTGTGTCTGGGTGTCAAAGATCTTCAAGGTGGGTGCTACTTGTGATGAACTCTAGAAGGATGGGGTGGTAATACTCGGTCTGGCCGTCTGGAAGCCCATAGAATTCCAGTTCAGAAACCGAGTATGGAGGTGCGGCTACTGATGAGAAGCCTCCTTAAAGTTTATTTGGGTTAGAAACGACATCTGGGTCCCTACCCTCGCACAAGATTATTCTCAATTTTCTTGTTGTGTTCCACAACTATACTTCTGTATACTTCAGTGATTGGGCTGATGACTCCAGTGAAAGGGCTGGTGACTCTAGTGAAAGTGCTGGTGACGACGAGAAAGACCATAAACCAGGGATTCCTTCGGGAGCATGTAAGATTATATCCAAAGTTTGTTCGCCAATGGGGTGTGTCTGGGTGTCAAAGATCTTCAAGGTGGGTGCTACTTGTGATGAACTCTAGAAGGATGGGGTGGTAATACTCGGTCTGGCCGTCTGGAAGCCCATAGAATTCCAGTTCAGAAACCGAGTAAGGAGGTGCGGCTACTGATGAGAAGCCTCCTTAAAGTTTATTTGGGTTAGAAACGACATCTGGGTCCCTACCCTCGCACAAGATTATTCTCAATTTTATTGTTGTGTTCCACAACTATACTTCTGTATACTTCAGTGATTGGGCTGATGACTCCAGTGAAAGGGCTGGTGACTCTAGTGAAAGTGCTGGTGACGATGAGAAAGACCATAAACCAGGGATTCCTTCGGGAGCATGTAAGATTATATCCAAAGTTTGTTCGCCAATGGGGTGTGTCTGGGTGTCAAAGATCTTCAAGGTGGGTGCTACTTGTGATGAACTCTAGAAGGATGGGGTGGTAATACTCGGTCTGGCCGTCTGGAAGCCCATAGAATTCCAATTCAGAAACCGAGTAAGGAGGTGCGGCTACTGATGAGAAGCCTCCTTAAAGTTTATTTGTGTTAGAAACGACATCTGGGTCCCTACCCTCGCACAAGATTATTCTCAATTTTCTTGTTGTGTTCCACAACTATGTTTATACGGCGAGCTTATTGTTCGTTTGTGCGATGACAACAAGCCGGCTCCTCATCCTACAGTATCCTTTTAGAGCGACACATCTTGTTAGAAGAAAGTTCCATATCAAAGTAACTGCAATTATTTGGACTTATTCTTTAAGTGTGCCAGTTACGTTCTTCATTGTAGACAAGAATGATACCTATTTCGACTTCAGAGGTTACACATGCGATTACAATTTCTCCTCGAGATCATTGTTTATGGACACAGTTATGATCACGTTTTGTTACAGTCCGCTTGCAGTCATATTAGCAACAACATCTCTGTTGATACATCAGCTGTGTAAAGCGGGTAAAAGTGCTAGACGGGTCGGGGCTACAGATCCACGCAGTAGCATTTTAACTGTCATACTCACCGCGTGTTTGTTTCTGGTTACCATTATTCCAAACACTATATCCACCATGGGGGAGTTTGATACGTCTACTAGCGCTGTACTTTACAGAGGGGGTATCGTGTGTTCTCATTTGTATATAATGGGCAATTTCTTTATTTATTGCCTAGCGGTCCCAAGTTTTCGGTCGTTTCTCCGGGCAAGGCTTCATATGTTTGCTCACTTTGCAACACATCTTTCATTGCATCTCCGGTTTTATTTGCCCTTGCCACTCTCAGCATTAGGTACGAAGTTGAATGTGATGGAATTAAACTGTAATTTAGAATTTTGATATCTCATAGCTTAGGTTTAATGATTCACGATAACTATTAACTGTCCCCATTTTATGCATTTGAACTTCAACTATGATCACATTTATTTCCATTTTTATATTTTGACACGACCAAATAGTGAATAAAAAAGTCTTTAACGAATATTTTTCAGAGCCAGAAGTTTCATTCTACGAAAATACAAGAAGCCTGGTTGAGCACGAAACGACGGTTTGATGCTCGAAATGACGGTTTGATGACAGAATCTTGTTAAATTTGAGAATATTAAAATAAATAAGCTGAGCTGGAAATTGTAACACTTTTGTTTTCAGCAAATATTGTATGTTTAACCAAAGGAAAAAAAACACTTAGAGCATTCTCATTTGTACTATCCGAAATAATTTAACCACTTTCAAAGCTCTGGAATAAGGAAAACTTCAGAGGGACAAATCTATTTAAAAATCATAATGTTAATTGCAATATTATTCTACTGATGTTGTGATAAGTTTATGATTACGAATCCAAGCTTAATTAGTTAAATTTTAAATTCAACGACAAACTAAATTTGGATACTTTTTCTCGCTGAACATTAACATTAAGTTTTGACTTAGTTTTACGATTGTTCTAGTCGTTTTAAGCAGCCTGATAAATTCAAAACTTTTAAATTACTAGTTAGATTCTAGTTAGACCTAATTAGATCCAGTTAAAATTAAAATAGAAGTTACCAGGTGAATGACTTGGCATAGGACAATATATTTCTTGGTCGCTAGTAAGATAAACTTGATGATGGGTATCACGTTTCATAAATTAAGTCTTAATTGGCTATCTTATGTTACAACAACTCAACTATTACGTCACATTTGACATTAATGGGTAGGGTATTAAATGAAGTTCCAGTGCAAGTTGACGTCAATGATTTAAATTACTGGCACCTCAATAACCACTTTCGGAATGTTTCAAACACTGTCACTAACTAGTAGTATAGTAGTAAGATCCCTCCCGTCAAGCCAGATAGAATTTTGCAGTACACAGCAGCAATGTCCACAAATTTAAGGTCAAAAACTGGAATTTTGTGTCAGAATACTTAATTATGTTCGTGGTAGCAACTAATTCGTAAGATACGTAAAAAATGAAATGAACCACCGAGCCCGTTCTTTAGTTCTTACCTCTATCTTTAGTTCTTATCTCTATCTTTATTAGTTCTTACCTCTATCAAGGGTAGATCAGCCTGGTCCTCCTCATTCTCATCACCTAACTGTTCATCACTCTCTTCTTCACTTTCTTCTTCTCCACTATCTTCTTCTCCGTCTTCTCCATCTTCGTCATATTCACTGGATCCTTCTTCCTCATCATCGCTCTCATTGTCATCCTCTTCTGGGGAGGATATCAGGATCAGGTTTAAATTACATATGGATGGAATGACTCAGAATGTTTCAAATAAAAAGGTGGCACATGGTGTTACTTTTTTACTTCGGTATTTATGAAAACTTACCCCTATTCTTATTCTTCAAACTATCAAGAGCCTTTTCGAATTCTTCGTTCTTGTTCATTTTTCCTTCTTCATCATAAGATATCAGAACTTTGTCTGATTTCCGCTTTACTTTCCGTGTGAGCAGGGCATCTGCTGAATGATCAGAGGTCTCGTCCGGTCCCTTCTTCATCCTTTGTAGACGTTGGGTTTCCAACTTTTCCAACAAATCCCGCCGTTCCCTGAAAACAACTACATTAGTATCACATATTGGTTATTCAGTACAGATTATATTTCATTTAATAATTATACACGAAATGTTCCAGTTAAAGAAGTCTTCACAAAGCTGTCCGTTACATTCCTAAAATTAAAGGCCGTACTTTGCAAGTTCCTCGTCTCCCTTCAGTCTGTCTGTTGGTTTAGCTTTTGCTTCAAACATGAGCGATTTGACATCTCTATCATAAGTGTCCCTCGGAGCATTGTTGACGATGGGTTTGAGTTTAGGTACCAATAAGCTGTGAATTGCTGTCCAATCCTTGTCCAACTGAGTTGTCTCTTCATTTGCCTCTTCTTTCAACTTCTGTCTTTCCATCTGATGATATAAAAATATAAAGCTTCATTTATCATAGCAGTTACTTTTGATTGAGTATGGTATCATAATATATTAGCATTCAATTGCACGCATTTATCCGCTTTCAATCCGAAAATCCACAATTATTCTACTAAAGTGTTAAAGTGATAACATGACCGATCAATTTAATTCACGGTCATTTTAACCGCCTTCCATCTCACCTTCTGCATTTTAGATTTAGCTACTATTTCATCCATTACATCTTTACTTGACAGATGTTTGGTGGTGCCTCCCTCGTTCTTCGTAAGAAATCCACCAAAGTGCATGTCAGTTGTAGTATCCGGTGGACCACCTGTTAAAATTGTTTGTTCAAGTTGATCTGATTTTGATCAAACTTAACATTATGACAAATTTAATGACACATTTAATTTCAGTATTCAATAGTTATCTATCAAGTTTTCAACAGCTTCTCATATTCGTGTAATTAACCACGCGAACTGTAAAGATAAACAAAATAATAAAAAGCACGTGGCGTGACGTCATGTGGTGTTACAGGCTCACTAACGTTCATTCTCATCTCCGGAACTGTAAATGTCATCAAACTCCTCAATCTGGTCCACACTTTGTCCCTTGTGAGTGAGCACATCTTCCTCAAGGTTAAACCTCTGTTTACTGTGATGTTTCTGTCGTTCCACAGTGAATCGTGCCATCATCTTGTCCTCTGCACTCATCATGGAGTCCTCTGCTCCGAACCGTTCGTCCACAAACGCGTTCTTCTTGTGGCGCTTTTTGTACTCCACACCTAATGTTTGGTTTCGCTGAAATTGTTTTGTTGTGAATTTTTGAACGAGGCTCACAAATTCGTCTGGGATAAAACAAGCTATGACCAGCCTAACTACTGGCTGAGAATATTCTAATGATACCTTTTGGGTGGTCTGTTTATGGGCGGATAAGAAATTAGGAAGACAGACAAGACTCCGAGCATGGCAAACTATCTTACTATATATAAAGCGAGACGATATATATATATATATATATATATATATCTGTGCCATTTTACTGACACCACGGCATCAACTTTAACGCGACTTTCTGCAAAGACCGTAAAAGATATACAACTGAAACTTTTTTGACTGGGTCAAATGCTTTAATGGCCTACAAATCAGCATGAAAAAATAAAAAATTGGCTAAGGAATAATGATTTTAGAGCCCAAAATTTGGACCCCCAAGTGGTGTCAAAAACGCCAATTAAATAGGTAATAATTATTTTAGTCTCTTGAGTCTTGACACCGTTTAGGGTTATATTATACGGGTTCCTGCTAGTTAAATTAAAGGCAAAAGGTGACAAAATGAAACAATTTGAATACCTTGACATTAGCTCTAGATCTAGATACCCCGGGCATTCCAGAGATGCGCTTTTCTTTAACCCCCAACACTGAGTGCTTGTTCTTCTTGTGGTATACCTGTTCAATGACAGGTTACTTTTGGAATTGATTAAACTACTTAGTACTTGAAGCTAATACAAATCGTGTGCTCATCGATAGGAAATTATCGGATGACATTTTGACAATTTTGGTATTATCTTGTAAATTTGATTATTTAAAGTTAAAAATGTTGGTAGATCATGCAGTCTCAGGCTTGCTTCAATACCATGAAAAGAAACATCAATAACAAACAATTCACCTCAAAAGGATTGATTTTCTGGCCATTATCAGATTTCTTCTTGGTTTGGTTTTTAGCTACCTTATTTTTCTTTGCCATGACCCTAAGACCTTAAAATAGAGATTTAGATTTAGAATAACACAATCGGTTACATAATCATTATTTATGCTTCAACTATAAACTTAATACACTTTTAAATAAAGACGGATTTGATTTAATACAAATTTGATATCAAAAATGCTGATGTACAGGTTTCGATCAAAATTAAAGCGGAAATAAAACTCTGGTTTCGTTCTGACTCAAATAAAACCTGATTATTATTATTTAACTTTATACAAACCTCTAAATTGAAAATGATTGGTAAATGATTACTTTTGTAGAATGTAGATCACACAATTTATGATATTGAGAACTGTGCTGGCGCTGGCTGAGTAAATAATCATTCAGATTTGACATACTAATACGGTGAGAAAAAAAACTGGGCAACATGACGCCAATATAACTAATCGTAGTCTTCAAATTACACTGCTGTATCAAAGTTAGAAAAATTCATCAAACTTTTGTATGTACTTTCAAGTTTTTTAAAAAGAAATTAAAGCATAACTGCTGACAGTAGAAATAATATTAATAGTATCAATGACAACTTGAACTCTGTACGACTCATGAGTTTTGGAGTATTTCAGTTTAAACTCCTCCTCACGATAACCTCCACGTGAACGAAACTAAAAGAAAGTTTGGAACCGGAGAAGTCTCAGAAAGCGTCATCTGCCATGGAATCGATAGAATAATACGGCACTCCTCTTTCTTGAAACGCCTTCTTGAGAATCTTTTGTTTTTCTTCCTTTTCTTTTAGCTCTTCTGCCTGTAAAGTTAACGCCCAGTTATGAGAAGATAATAGTTTATATTACAACGAGGTGTTGGACACTATCCAGCCACACATGGAATTATCAGGGTGCAGAAACGTGTAAATGGTGTTGAATTTGTATCAGAAATCAGCAGAAAAATAAATAAATAAAATGTTCATTAATATGAATTATATCATAACCTGTATCGTCAGAATTTCCTCCTGAGAAACCTGGATCAAGTTTTTAAACTGAGAGTTCTGAAAATCAACCTCTCCACACAGCACGACATTCTCTCCACGTATTAAAAATACCCCCCGATCAATGTCTCCGTATTTGTCCCGCACATGAATGCGTTCTATTGTCTGAGTAAGGAGCAAATTTGCAAACTGATCAAGTGATCTGAGGAAACCGATGAGAGTGCGCCCGTCGCGCAACACAACCATCATGCGCTTGTCGATATCCTGGACCAGCGCTGCGGTGCCAGGCAGATACAACATCTCCTGGCCCAAATCATCTACTAAGTTTGACATCTTTCGCCCATTAACTTCACATCTGATAGATTTGTTCATTAGTTATTTAATCAAATCTGAAAAAAAAATCTCCAGCCAGATAGAAATGTATGTGCGCTCAATAGTAAAATTAGACCGGGGATGGTGTTAAACAGCAAAAGATGTTCTTTTATAATTCCATGTTATTGATTAATTGACTTCGTTATCATTTATTAGTGTTATTAAGTTATTGCTCTTTTAGAATAAAACCGCTCTGATTAAATATAGAATATTGAAGTTATGCTAGATGGTGATATTCAATAATGTTTGTTACCACAATTAGTAATAATATAAATGTATCATTTTCAAGTTTGCTTGCCTTGCTCTGAATATCCAGCAATGCCCCGCCAATGCGAATATCTGTTTTAAATTCAAGATAGTTAAATTCTATTTGGATAATCGAATTAAGAAAGATTTTAAAAGTGTATTAATCGATCACACATACATTGTATTATAAATAAGTCACAATAAATTAAGAAATTATAATTGTAAAGCAGTTTTAAAAACAAACATTAAATTACACAACTTATAGATGACTTCTTAGTTCTTACTCTCATTTAAAATTCCCCATGTCTAATGTTCATACTGGCACACAAGGCAAGTTGACTACGAATTAAGGCAGCAAAATCGTTGATTCTGTCGAACCTGTAAAGTAAATTAAGAAGGACAATCCCGAATTCCACGTGATGAAATTCTGAAATTAGCAGTCTCTCCACTTTTTTCTCCTTTCATTACACTGAAATTTTATTTATTTATTATAATCATGAAAATATGACCAAGACTTTTATTTGGTTCAAACCTTTTCTGGACATTTTAGGATTTGTTTAAAGAAATTCAAAATAGATGTGATCAATGTTATTAATCAGTAAATTGAACAAACCCATGATGATATTGTACAAACTGTAACACAAGTACCACGTGTATGCTAAATTTACAAAAGATTCACTACCTCCCAACTCAGAGGTACCGGAACTCACGTGGCAGAGTAGACGTCGCCAGCCACTTTGCGCAGGAACACTCTGCGATGTGCGGTGTGAGACCACGACTCCCCAAGACAAGGCTGTACATTTCCCTCTCCGTCCATCCTTACTTGGTTCACTATCACCAGGGTTACATTGTGCCGGATACACAATCTGTGCAGCTGAAAAGGTTATCAAGGAGATGGAGGGGCTATAAAACATCTTGATAGTTTTACAAAGATAGGAATATCTATTGGAATTGGATTGAATCGCTTTATCGTGACTTCAAATGGCCACCTTTAACTTAATTTATTTATGGTAAAGTAAAATAGGCTACCTTGTTAGACAGTTCAGCTAAAATGTTCGTTCTTTGTCTCATGTCATCAAACTCATGTCTAAAATGTGTCGCTAATGCATCAACTATTACTGCACCATAATTACACTCCTCACTGTTCTGAAAAATAACTTAAAGTACACCAATATACAGCTATGAGAGTTAGAATTCAATGTACAGCTATATAATAACTCGGCATTTTTAACTCTTCAGACTGCAGAATTCGATCATAATCAAAAATAGTTTATTATATAGTGACCTATGAAGTAAGCAAATTAGTATCATACATGCTGAATATTTTAAATATCAAGGCAACGGATAATCAGCTTGGTAACAGAATCAAACCTGATGTTGTTGATGAGGGCAAGCAGTTGACTGTAGTCAGTACATCTCATTGTGGATATGCTACTTAACATTTCTTTCACTGTCAATCTGGAGACGACATCCCTTTCTTCACTGCTGCCTTTAATTTTATCAGATAATAGCTGATCAATTTGTACACATTATTCTCAATACACTAATCGTTACTTTGATTACAGCATCCTAATAATCATTGTCACGTCAAATATAATAAAACACTACCACTGTACAACCAAACTTCACAAACTTACTTGCAATGAGTTTGAGATGAGAGAGAGTTGCATCTGCCATCTGGTTTAGGCGTGCCTCACAGGTGTCACCATTGCAATCTACAATAAGGGTCTTACAATTTCTACCACCGAATATCTTGGGTATGGTGCAATCTACAGCCAACTGTGAACAAAGCTGAGTTGTTCCACTACCAGGTTCTCCAACGAACTCTATTATCTGGTAAGGGGCAAAGTGTACTTTAGAATGACACTTTTACATTTATTTATTAGTTCAATGAATCAACCAATATTAATTTAATTTTTTCATTAACATTCTATCACTGGCCTAATGTATAATTGAATCCTTTGGCTTCCTGTATTTTTTCTGGTTACACCTGTGTAACTAATACGGTTGTTGGAATGTCCGAAAAAAATAAATAAGTGTTAGATAAAATCATATGAAATATTTGTCTACCTCTCCGGGAAAAATTCCACCACAAAGAAGAGCATCCAAGTGTGAGCTAAAAGTTATGAGAGAACTTTTTAACACTGATTCTTTCACATCCTTACTGCTCAGGAATGATGGCTGAAATGGATATACCTTATTTTACAAATTAATATACCAGTTTACAGCTTAGTTTTCCGGCCGCTTGCCAATAAAACTTCTGATTGAGGAAATGAAACTTGCCAATAAATCTTCCTGATTGAGGAAAAAAGAAAGATCAGTTCTTGTAGAAATTCCCTCTTTGGCAAAATTTCCTCTAAGTCAGACCTTGTGTGTTTCAATTGCCACATGATAACTTCCTCTATATTAAACAAGTTTTACACTTACATCATTTATATTAGTGGTGAGAACATCCAACAACAATTTTTCATGGCTCTGTGGCAAATTCAGTTCCTCTAGCTGTGAGACTACATCTTTTTGGCTATACGAATCCAGCCATGGAAGTGTCTGGACCACATCAGAGAGAAAGGTGATGTTTTGCGCCGCTAGGTGTTTTGTAGTAGCCTTTGGTAAAGGTAAAGATGTGATCGGTAATGCCATTGCACATCTGTAACAGTTTAGGTCGGTTAAACAGTTATACTTGACCCATTAGGCTATATAACCAATAATAATGAATTGTCTGATGAGGAGAATTATATAGGATGGACCAAAAGTCATGATATTTCTGCTCATATATGAAAGTAAGGCTATGCACTATAAATCAAAGATTTCAATTAATCTGGTGCCCTACATTTTTGGTGCCTCTAGTATAGCTCTCGTAGTACTTTCAATGGGAGAAATATTGATACAATATACACACATGATTTCAGCAGTTTCATACCCCAATTGTTTATCAAACAGGACAACGACTCTTCAAGAAGTGTACGAAGAGAACAAGCATGTGAAGAAGGATGGGTACTTATAGAGAGTATTGAATGTGGAGAAGGCATTCACCCTAGCTGATTTTTTCACATCTATAGGCATGTCCAAAGTGTGCAAACGGTTTGTTAACAGGTCAGGGGAGATACACCAAAAACGTTTTTTCTCTGAACATCGATTTTATTTTATATTATGGTTAAATAGACAAAAAGAATAAGATTGCACACCTTCAAAATTTTTTAAAAATATTCCCTCATCGAGAAATAAAATATTTTTCTTTTTCGAAAATTTTTAAAATTTTGAGAAGTCTGTCACTGTAATACCGATAGTTCGGCAATCTTAAAAGTTTTTTGGCTGTTTTTTACTGAACATTACTTACAATCCGTACAAGAAGCCGTTGAAAGGATTATACAATTGAACGATAAATGACGAAGTTACAGACCAAACAAGGTCGAAAAAATAAAAATTGAAATTTTTCCCACTTCTAAAGTTGTACATTTCACCAATCACCCGGGTCAGCAGATATCGCTTCAAAAATTCTTGTGAGTGTAGCTGATGATCATATCAAACTTTTTGGAGTAGGATTTCTCTCAGATTTGAGTTTTAAGCTATGCAATGTGGCCTCAAACGACTTAGTAAAATTCATAGTAAAAAAGGGCAAAAAAGGCAGATTCAAGGCTTAAAATGCCTATAACTCAAAAAGTATCAGTTTTTTTTGAAATAATTTTTACAGAATCGTAATCAGCTTGGTAAGACGAATCTTTTAGTACCAAATAGGTGCTTTTAGAAGACAAATTGCCTTAAATAATTTTCTAGCTCGAACACAAGGGTCCCCCCTTGTATAAATTTTCTACAAATTGTACACATTTTTTTACAAATTTTGTGTCTTTAAATATTATAAATGTCGTCTACAAAATATCATTGCACTAACTGAAAAATATAAAATAAATATTTCCCAAACAACATTGATTATTTAATTCATCAAATTATTATATAAAATTATTCAAACAATATACACATAATATAGCAATGACCCTATATAAAATCAACCCTTTAAGAATTCAAAAAATTCCCTTAACAATTAAAAATTACCCTTGGCCTTGTGGCTCCAAGTTAAGATCTAGACTGTTAATTTAAATTTAATTCATAAGTAAGTAAGTAAGTACCTAAGTAAGTAAAGATTATGACATAACATCATGACAAGTGTCTACAAAATATCATTGCACTAAATAGAAAAATACTTTAAATAAATATACTTTTCCATCAACATTAATAATTTAATAAATTCAATTTTAACTAATAAAATCTAATACATTATCTATAAATAATTCATTAATACTTCCCAGTGGAATAAAGATTTATAAAACGCTTCTTTGCCACAAAAGGATGAAACCAAAGATATTCATTATGTCTCTCCTTATTGCTTAAATAACTCGGTCCTTCAATTTTCCCTAAAACTTCATTCGAAACAGTCCAAAAATAAGAATCATTTACACTGTTTTTAGAAATCATTTCTTTCTTAAATCCTTCCAATCTAACTTTAAAGCTTAAAACTGTCGAGCAGTTCTTGACATCTGAAGGGAGTTTGTTCCAATAAGGAATGACTCGCTCCGGAAGAAAAGAAGACTGAATATTCCTGACTTTAGTTACACTCTTACTACATCTATTGGTTGAAACTAAATTAAGACCAGATCTGCTCATTCTGAACAAACCCGATCCATATTCAGTCAAACCACTAGTTACTTTAAAAGCTTCAATAAGGTCCCCACGTATTCGCCGCTCTGCCAGCGTTGTCAAATTGAGTATATCCAGTCTACGGCTGTATGGAAGAGTACCCACCTCATCAATAAGACGGGTAAACCGCCTCTGGACGCTCTCCAGCTCCAAAACAGTCCCCCAACTTCCATGAGCCGCAACTGGATTCCACAATTGGACACAATACTCAAGATGAGGTCTTATCAAAGCTTTATAAATAGATATCATTACAACCTTTTCTCTAATAACTAAGTTCCTTACAATCCAGCAGATCATACGATTTGCTTTAGAAATACATGCTTTTATCTGTTCATTCCAAAGCAAGGAGCTATGGGTAATAACCCCCAAATCTTTTTCCTGTGCAGATACTTCTAGTTCCACTCCATTTACATTATAATTCGAGTTAGGATTATTATTCAGATTAATATGAACTACTTTACACTTGGCAGGATTGAAGTTTAAGTGCCAAAAACTCTCCCAAATTTCGAGTTCTAAAATATCATCAGATACACTTCTATGGTTAGCTGCATTACAAACTAACTTGAGATCATCTGCAAATAATTTAATCTTATTTTTAACATTGTCAGGTAAATCGTTTATATAAAGAATAAATAGCAAAGGACCCAATACTGACCCCTGGGGAACACCAGATAACACGTGTTTCACCTCAGACCATTGTCCTTCTACACAAACCCTCATGGTTCTGTCTGTCAGAAAGTCTTTTATAACATCTAGAACTTTTCCCTTGACCCCAAACCCCTCCAATTTAGATAGAAGTCTAAAGTGGGGGACTGTGTCAAAAGCCTTACTAAAATCAAAATACAAAAGATCGACAGGAGCACCTTCGTCTAAAATATCGAGAATATTATCAAATGTCTCTAAAAGATTAGATAGACAAGATTTACCCTTCACAAATCCATGCTGATGCTTTGAAATTCGTTCTTCTAAAAATGTTAATAAATGTGCCCTCACTAACTTTTCATACACTTTGCACAAAATACAAGTTAATGAGACAGGTCTATAATTTAAGGGATCAGATTTAACACCCTTTTTTAACAATGCTACAACAGATGCTGTCTTCCAAATGTCAGGCAGGACTCCTGTTTCTGAACATTTAACAAATAATTAAGTAACAGCTTCAACAAACATTTCATCGTATGCTAAGGATTTCAACAACTTTGGATGAACGCCATCCGGACCAGAACTCTTAAAAACATTAAGCTTTAAAAGCTGCTTCTTGATATCAGAACTGCTAATTTCCATATCATCAATAACCTCTTTGTTATAACTTAAACTCTCATTTTTAGGGAGAGGGCCAGGTGGTTCACGCACAAACACAGAACTAAAGGCACTAGCAAGTACCTCAGCTGACTCAGATGAACTATCTGTGCGTGTACCATCTCCTCTATCTAAAGAAACAACACTTGATTTCACTTGTCGTTTATTACGCAAATACGAGTAAAAAGATTTACAATTCTGTTTTAGATTAGATGTAATCTTCTTTTCATAATTTACTTTAGCTTTAATTTCTGCCACCTCAAAAATATGCTGCTTGCTATTTGCACAGCTCAAGTTAATATTCGAAGGATTAATATCAAATTCAGCCCATGCTTTGTCCTTGTTCTTCCTCATTCTTTTAAGTGAAGTTGTACTCCATGGCAACTTGGCAGGTCTGTTGTCGAGATAAACCGAAGCAGCTGGGACAGCTGCAGCAACAGACTCCAATTTACCATGTAGTTCAACCCACATATCTTGGACATTATTTGTACAACTATAATCCCAGTCAATATTATTCATACTAAAGTTAAATAACTCCTCTGAGGAAATCTTACCCCAAATAGGCTTCAAAATCTTTTGTTTGGGACTTTTGTTAGTGTTGGGCGAAACGACCAGTTCGACAAGTATCCCAACATGATCACTCTTGCCAAGCGGAGAAACGATCTAACAACCGTTGACAAGAGCATCATTTGTATACAAAACCTGATCAAGAAGACTCTCCTGGAGAGTATCTTTCACAAGCCGTCTTCTGGTTGTTTCGTTAGTAAAGTACCACATCAAACCACTGTCATTTAATAAATCAATATACTTTTGTTGAATCATTAAAACCTGATTCTTACTAGAAATACTACTATTTACACTACCAGTTTCCCAAGATACATTAGGTAGGTTAAAATCTCCTATGATAATAGTTTCAAAAACATTCTTTTCACTAGATATGCTCTTGATGCAAGATAATAACATATTGTTCTGTTCTAAATTTAAAGATTTAAAGTTAAAGAAGTAGACCTATAAATACAACAAATACTAATCAATCCACCAGAGGTATTGACATTGATAGCTAAAGAATCTGGTGCTTTTAAAAATGAGCTCACTAATGAAGCATTACAACTGTTTTTAATATAAATAATAGAACCTCCACCTCCACTTATGTTGCTAGTGGAGTTATCGATTTTAAAATCTCTGTCCTTTCGAAACATACTAAAACCTTCAATAAAAATTTCAGCATCTAAAATATCACTATTAAAATGAGTTTCTGTAATGCAGATTACATGAATGGATTTATAAACTGATAGAATACATTTTAGTTCATCAATTTTATTAAATAGTCCATTAGCATTAGTGTAAAAAATATTCATGGGCTGACTATCGTCATGTTTTTATTACTGACATATGCCTTTCTAACTAAACTAATGCCTTTCATTGCTTTATAACTGACTCCCTAAATTCTTTGTTCTTACTGAAACTTCATCAGAAACATTCCAAAAAGCAATTATTTGTAACATATCATACTTTTAGAAATCAGATCTTTCTTAAAAAAGTTTTTTAAAATTTTAAATACCTTTGATTTCATTCCCAAGAGCAAACATATCGATTTAATTTTATGAAGCAGAACTACGAGCTAAAAAAATTATTATCGTCAATTAACTTTTAACTTGACATTGGAGGACTTTGCCACTTCGACGCGCCGCAGAAACTATCATTCTTACAAGGTCGTTGCTCTGTTTATTCGCAAACAACGATCTGGAAGGGTTGACATCGCGCGTCAATCAAAACTTGACACTTTGCGTCCTTGTCATACAACATTGTATGACCCGCCGCGCGGCTCCCCTTGTATCGTCAGGACGATATATTGTAGGTTTATAACCTACCAGGACGCGCGCCGAGTTGGACTCGTCCAATATATGAGACAGATATTTTACAGGTACCACCCGTTAAGACGATATAGTGAAACGACTGTGGGGGTCGCAACGTGATACAAGTGCGTCCGTGTAGTGCGCATGCGCATTTTATTTTGTTTAACCCGTAAATTGGTTTAAAGTTATACTTACTGGGCGGCGCTCGATTTATCGTTTGGCCATATATCATCATGAAAATATGTGTACTAGTATGGATTTAAATGCTGAGATTCCCAGGTAATGAGGTAATTTTATACTTTATAGCCGAGCCGAGATACTTTAGTGCACGTCGTGCTATACATTTGACCATTTTTAATGATCTGGCCCGGCGCGCAGTACTTCGTAGCACTAGCCACTTTCAAGAAGAAAGCGGCGCGCGCTACTTCGAAGAAATTTAGACGAGTAACATCCGTCAAGCTATATATAATACGTTCGTATCGTTAAAAATATAAGTGTCCCCTGGCTCAAAAGGGAAATGTTTACCTAGCTTAATATGTACATGTGCTTGTTTATTGCTCGCTTCTCTCATAAAACAGAAGCTTGGCAATATCGCCGCGCGTTTGGCATTGGCGTTACCCGGCACACAAGGGGAGTTGAAACCAGGTTTTCGTTACCTGAGGACCCCAGGCTTTAATGTTGGTAAATAGAGATTAGGCGGAATGACAGGCTGAGCGCGGCCCAGTAAGGTTTTTGATCAAACGCTGCCATGTGTAGTCAAACGTCGCCAAAAGTTGCTCTCGTCCAATGAAATCGCTGCATTATGTAAGCAAAGCTCCGCATATATGAATATATGTAATTCAATTATGCATACTGGCTTGCAAAATGCAGCAATTTTATTGGACGAGAGCAACTTTTGGCGACGTTTGACTACACATGGCAGCGTTTGATCAAAAACCTGGTTTCAGCCCCCCTGTGGGCACGCCAATTACAACTAATAATTGAGCTGAAAAAAGAACAACAAACATGCAATGAACTTGACCATTGTTAATGATCTGGCCCGGCGCGCGCTACTTCGTAGCACTTGCCGTCGGGCCATAACATTTCGAGAAGAAAGCGGCGCGCGCTACTTCGAAGAAATTTAGACGAGTAACATCCGTCAAGCAATGAACAAGCGACAAAACAATTTTTGGAGACATTATCTTGTCATACGTTGTATGACCCGCCGCGCACTATAGTGAAGCGACAGTGGGGGTCACCACGTGATACATATTATCATGAGTCAAACTACAATTTAATTTTCATTATAAAGCTTAAATTTACTTCAAGTACGATCATGCAATCCGATGTAATACTGTACACAGTACAGGGTACAGATACTGACTACCTTTCTTTCAGCTACATTAATTGAATGCTAAAGCCGACCCGTGTTGCTCTAACCAGAGTCCTGCCGCTTGAAGTAGCGCGCAACCGCCGTATAGTAGGCGGAACAGGTCTATTCTACTTGTTAAACAAGCGCGTCACGCAGTACGCGTAGACACATGGCTATGACCTATGTCATATGTGAAGAACCCGTGCGTTCATTTTAATATCTGTTCAAAGAAAGTTAATTCATTTACGTCAGATGATCGAGCAGTCAGCAGTAATTTTTATAATTTAAATAACAAATAATGTCAAGTCATTAATGATAAAATTGGGGATGTTGTATGTAAAATATAATTTTTAGATAACAATTCATTGACCATGCACCTCCAAAATATGTTCAATTAAATCACTTTTCGTTTTGCCTTTATAGCCACAGTAAATTTCACAGCCAAACGGTTGCAAATCTGGGTGAGTTTTTTTGTGAGCAACAAGAAGACTTTTCGTTACAGCTGAAAATTCGCATAATTCACATTTAAAATGTAATTCAGTTTGACTATGAGTCGAGATATTTGTCTTTAAACTGGTGGATTTACTGCATTGGTAAAGTTTCTCTCCAGTGTGTTTTCGTTTGTGAGTCACCAGGATACTTTTAGTTGCAGCTGGATAGCTACAGATATCACACTTGTGAGGTTTTTCTCCAGAGCTAGAGTGGGATCGTTTGTGATTATAAAGAGCAATTTTACTTGCAGCAGAGTAGTTACAAATATCACACTTGTGAGGTGTCTTTCTAGAGCTAAAGTGTGATCGTTTATGATTATTAAGATCTCTTTTACTTACAGCACCATAGTTACAAATATCACACTTGTGAGGTTTTTCACCAGTGTGAGTCAACATATGTACCTTCAATATGCTTGATTGATTAGCCCTATAGTCACACAAACGACATGGATAAGGTTTTTCTCCAGTGTGCGTCAAAATATGTCTCTTCAATAAGCTTGATTGAGTAGCTCTATAGTCACACAAACTACATGGGTAAGGTTTCTCTCCAGTGTGAGTGAACATATGTACCTTCAAATCGCTTGATTGGCTACCTCTATAGTCACACAAACTACATGGATAAGGTTTCTCTTCAGTGTGCGTCAACATATGTCTCTTCAATAAGCTTGATTGAGTAGCTCTATAGTCACACAAACTACATGGGTAAGGTTTCTCACCAGTATGAACAAACATATGTCTCTTCAATTGTCTTGATTGATTAGCCCTATAGTCACACAAACTACATGGGTACGGTTTTTCTCCAGTGTGAGTTCGTTTGTGAATCACCAGATACCTTTTACTTGCAGCAGAAAAACTACAAATATCACATTTATGAGGTTTCTCTCCAGTATGAGTCAACGTATGTTTCTTTAATTGGCTTGATTTATTAGCCCTATATTCACGCAAACTGCCAGTGTCAGATTTCTCTCCGGTGTGAGCTGACATACGCTTCTTTAAGTTGAGGCCAGACCCAGAAGGATTGGTATTTCCAATAGAATGAGAGATAACCACATTGCTATGAGGGTTGGTCGTCAGAGGATCAGGGACAGATTGTACATTAGAAAGAGATGAGTTAGGTTGATCGACTGCCTCTTGACAAAGATCACATTGAAATTCCTTACAGTCTACAGGTTCGGTTTTTATCACTGACCTACAGGAATTCATATAACCCATTTCCTTCAAATCTTCATTTGTAGTAAGTTCGGTCTTGAAGGGAACATTACTTAATTCAGTGCAGCCATTCTCCAATTTACATGCACAAGATGATAAACTAGTAGCAGGTTGCTCGATCTTTATCATCTCTGTTTTATGATTATCCTTGCACAACTCTTTAGGTTCTTGTTCCACCATTTCTGATAACATAATATTGATTAAATAATAAGTGACATAACTTGCACAAAACCGATTCGAATTTGTCTGAACGGCAAGTGAAAGCAACATTTAACTTTAACATCTGTAAGTAAGAATTATAAATCTTAAGTTTTCCAAGAGACAGTTAGATGAAAAATATAATAGTAAAATAGTAAAATTTATTATATCAAAAATTTGTAGTCCACTTCACGGCTCTTACTAATTCGCTCGCCGAAAATTTCACGTGACTTTGGTTTTTATGGTTTTGCAGCCGTACAAAACGGTTTTACATAAACCCTTATCCCAACCCTAACCATAACCCCGAAGCTAACCATAACCCTTACCACAACCCTAACCCTAACACGAGCTCTAAACAATCGAATTCGTATTTTACTAGCCTGTCACGTGACCAAATCGGTTTTTCGCCCAAAACTCTCCAGGGAAGCATTTTAACCCTACGTCATGGGGGGTGATTCGGATTCAGCGTCCAAAAATACACCGATTCCGATCACTTTCATGCCCAAAGGGCCTTTTCACAAGAATTTTCTTAAAATTTGGGCGAGCGATTTAGTAGGAGCGCCACTTCACGGACATTAAAATGAACCCCAGGGTTTCCAGCGTCCAATTAATGTCCGTTCAAATAAAGTCCGATAAGGTATTTACTGTTACATTAAACACACTGTAAATTGGATAGAAAAACAGAGGAGCTAGAAAACGCGAACGATCTATAAAATTAAACACAGCAACTGGGAAAAGAACAAGACAATTTGTCGACACATTGATAAAACAAAAGCAACATGACTTTCAATTTAAGTATGAAGCTATATGTACTTCAAGTACGATCTTGACATCAGAATTCCGTGGTCGTCAGATAAACCGAAATTGAAGCTTCATTGTTGATTACTGATTAACCTATAAGAGTATAAGTATATAACTTAACGCATCCGGTATTAAAAATCATATTTAGATTTCCGGGTTATGTTTTTCGGACGATCATATTTCCTTGGAACTGTAAAGTGCACCACAACACAGCAACAATTATTAAAATCGGCCATATCAGGCCCGTAACAAAAGAAAAATGAGCGGCTGGTCACACTAAGCCTAACATGGACGCAGAATAGTGAATAACTTGGCACGTGACCTGCATCTGTCAAGATGATTCGTTCTTGTGACTCACACGTTTGAATACTGGGCGGCGCTCAGCCATTCATTTCGCCGCAGCTTCAATTCTATTAATGAACAGAAAAAGCCAGAAGTCCCCAGGCCAAGGTAACTCACACGTGATCGTTTATTGATGCTACATTATTAAGCAATATTAGTACGGTCGTACAACTAATGTAGACTCATGTTAAGGTATGAGCAGCTAATTACGGAACACGATATTTAGACTTTAAGAACACTAATGCGATTAGTTTATAATCACACTCCCTATCCTGTCACAAATTTCATTTAACCCGAAAAAAATCCGGTGCGATTATGAAAAATAGTGTAGCCTTCAAATAAGCCTACAGTGGAGTAATATATATATGTATAATGTCCTTCAATTTTACTATACTGTAAGTTGACATATATGTGACTTTAAATATGTCTATGCGCTAGCCCTGTCGTAAAATAAACTTGAAGGGTTATCATATTTCTTCGTATGTGTTCGTTTGTGAGAAGTAAGAGTGTCACTTCGTGCAGATGAGTAGCTACAAATATCACATTTATAAGGTTTCTCTCCAGTATGAGTAAACATATGTCTCTTTAATTGGCTTGATTGGCTAGCTCTATAGTCACACAAATTACATGGGTAAGGTTCCTCGCCAGTGTGAGTTCGTTTATGACTAATCAGAGTACTTTTTCTTGCAGCAGAGTAGTTACAAATATCACACTTGTGAGGTTTCTCTCCAGTGTGAGTAAACATATGTCTCTTCAAAACGTCTGATGTTTTAGCCCTGTAGTCACAAAAGCTGCAGGGATAAGGTTTCTCACCAGTGTGAGTTCGTTTGTGAGCAGTGAGATGAGCATTTCGTCTTGCAGAGTAAGTACAAATATCACATTTGTAAGGTTTTTCTCCAGTATGAGCAAACATGTGTACCTTCAAATTGCTTGATTTACTAGTTCTATAGTCACACAAACTGCAGGGGTAAAGTTTTTCTCCCGTATGAGTCAACATATGTTTATTCAATTGGCTTGATTGGGTAGCCCTATATTCACGCAAACTGCCAGTGTCAGATTTCGCTCCGGTGTGAGTCGATATATTCTTCTTTAAGCTGAGTCCAGACCCAGAAAGAGTAGTATTTTCAATAGAATGAGAGATAACCACATTGCTATGAGGGTTGGTCTTCAGAGGATCAGGGACAGATTGTACATTAGAAAGAGATGAGTTGGGTTGATAGACTGCCTCTTGAAAAATATCACATTGAAATTCTTTACAGTCTACAGGTTCACTTTTTATGACTAACCTACAATAATTCATATTACCCATTTCCTTCATAACTTCATTTTTTGTAGTTGGTTCAGTCTTGAAGGGCTCATTACTAAATTCAGGGCAGCCATCCTCCCATTTACATGCACAAGATGATGAGCTAGCAGCAGCTTGCTCGATCTTTATCATCTCTGTTTTATGATTATCCTTGCGCAACTCTTTAGGTTTTTGTTCCGCCATTTCTGAAGAAAAAAAGTGTAATTTTAACATAATAGCTATGAGTAAAACTAATGACGGAAGGAGGGAGGGGGTTGAAAGTTGGCTAAAGTAATTACGCAATATGCCAACCACCCCTAATAATTGCCTGAGCAACATATAATTGCTCGAGCAACATGGTCGAAGCTCAATAACAGTGTTGGACAGAAACTGATCATGTTATTAGCCCGGCAATTTATTTAGGGGACGTTCAAATATTACTTAGTCACCTAAGAATGGGGAGTTTTGAAATTATCATAGGCTTTATAATAGTAAACACACAGTGCATTGGTGAGTAAAATATAGGAGCTGGCAAACGATCAATAAATACAGCAACTGGGAAAGGAACAAGACAATTTGTGAAGATATTGATTAAACAAGAAACATTCGATTCAATTGTAAAGCTAAAATGTGCTTCAAGTACGATCGTGACAACCGATTTAATGGTGTACTGAGTATAGATAAATTTTCATCTATATTAAATATACCTCGTCATTTAAAGCTAACGTTATAGATGATCGGGCACTAGTACTTTTGATAATTTAAATTATGTAAAGTTATAAAGTTGTACGTAAAATATGATTCTTTGGATCTAACAATTCATTTGAGGTCTTCTAGACCATGCACCTCCCAAATATGTTCATTTAAATCACTTTTGGTTTTGCCTTTATAGCCACAGTAAATTTCACAGCCAAACGGTCGCGAATCTGGGTGATTATTTTTGGGAGCAACAAGAAGACTCAGCATATGTCTGTTCAAATCACTTGATTTGTTGGCCATGTAGTTACACAAACTGCAGGGGTAAGGTTTCTCACCAGTGCAAGTGTGAGTTCGTTTGTGACTCACCAGAGAACTTTTCCATTTAGCTGAGTAGCTATATAGATCACACTTGTTAGGTCTTTCATCAGTATGAATCAACATATGTTTCTTCAATGAGCTTGATTGATTAGCCCTATAGTCACACAAACTACAGGGGTAAGGTTTCTCTCCAGTGTGAGTTCGTTTGTGAATCAACAGATTACTTTTAGTTGCAGATGAGTAGCTACAAATATCACAATTGTAAGGTTTCTCTCCAGTGTGCGTCAACAAATGTTTGTTCAAATTACCTGATCTGCTAGTTTTAAAGTCACACAAACTACAGGGATAATGTTTCTCACCAGTGTGAGTTAACATATGTTTCTTTAAATCGTCTGATCTGTTAGTTTTATAGTCACACAAGCTACAAGGATAAGGTTTTTCTATATTAGGAGTTCGTTTGTGAGTGGTAGGATGTTCACTTTGTCCAGCTGAGTGTTTACATATATGATGGTTGGTCTTCAGAGGATCAAGGACACATTCTCCGTCAGAACGGAGTGAACTAGAATGGTTTACTGACTCTTGACAAAGATCACATTGAAATTGTTTACAGTCCATAGGTTCAGTTTTCATGATTAAACGACATGAATTCATATTACCCACTTCCTTTATATCTTCATCTGTAGAAGGTTCAGTCTTGAAGGGCTCATTACTAAATTCAGGGCAGCCATCCTCCAATTTACATGCACAAAATGATGAGCTAGCAGCAGGTTGTTCGATCTCTTTCATCTCTGTTTTAGGATTGTCCCTGTTCAACTCTTCAGGTTCTTTTTCCGCCATTTCTGGAAAAAATAATGTCGATAAAAAATAATCTTGGGTTTTAAGTGACATAACTTGCACAAATCCAATTTAAATTTTCCAAACTGCAAGTGAAAGCAACAACTACAATTATAATATGCTTGCAAATCTTGAATTTCCCAAGAAACAGCTAAATGAAACAAATGGCAAAATTGATAAATTTATTATATCAAGATATTTGTATGACGTTCAGAATTCGATTAAAAATAAACAAGAAAAATATAACGTACGGGTATCGGCCTTACAAAATGACACGAAAAAGGAGATGGCTCTGAAATGCACAAAAATGAGTTTTGTTCATGTTTTATTATCCAGATAGGTAGTTCAACAGGTATATTTTTCTTCCCGGGGGTTGATTTGATTGAAAAACCGTAAATTTTGCGATAAAAATTGTCATCTTTGAAATCTTCCAAAAAAACATGCCTTACAAAATGACAATTTCGTCACGGCTGTCATTTTTTAACAGCAGCCTATAGAAATTTGATTTCACCTAGGACAGTTAGATAAATATAATAGATTAAAGATTAGAATAGCTTTTACAGGAAAAAGGATGATTAAAAAAAGTTGGGCAATTTCGCGTGAGATAGTGCCTTACAAAATGACAACCCAAAACGGCATCACTTCAAATCCGATTTGGGAAAAAGTTTCATTATTCTTTCACGTGTCTTACTGTTAGATATATATGTTGTTTATATTATACCAGTTCTGTTTTTACCAAAATATATTTAAAAAGGAACATTTTTTATACTTTGAAAAAATTTAAAAAATGTCATTTTGTGAGGCGTAAAAATCATTTTTTGTTTTCATACTTGAACACAGTATTTGGTTATATTTGATACTTTCTATGACTGGATAGATCACTTTTCAGTGTTTAGTTAACGTTTGACATGTTTTAGGAGTTGTTATTACTCTCTGCTTTCACAAAATAGAAGCTCTTTATTTCGTTGAGTTTTGAAATCAGAGTTTGAAATCAAAGAGTTTGAAATCAAAGTTTTGATATCAGAACTGCACTATTTTAATGCTACTTGATTGTTAACTGTCAGAATATGATTATTTTTAACTCCTTCTTGTATTGACTGTCTCTGATCCATTTTAGATGATGAAAATAATTCAATCTGAAACATTGTCATTTTGTAAGGCTTTTCGGTGTCATTTTGTGAGGCATTTTGATCAAAATTGATGATCAAACAAACACATTTAGGCTCATCATGAGCTTACTGGGTTTAAGAATACCAATAATTAGGCAAGGGGCATCCAATATAAATATGACATCTTTGTATCATAAAATAAAACTGTCATTTTGTGAGGCATAACACTGTCATTTTGTGAGGCTAGGTCATTTTTTTGTCATTTCTTCTACCAAGGTCACTAAATCAGTTTTTTTATTTGACCAGAGTAGTCTTTGATTGACATAAGTCATGGTAGTACCTGGTTTTCTGGGGTTAAATTCAAAACTTTGGTCTCCATTCTGGGTAACAGTTAGGCGGGGCAATGACTGAACAGCAAAAACTTCCATATTTATGTAAGAAATATAGATTCTATGTCATTATCATTCCTTGGGAAGTGTTAATTAATGCTTTTTCTTTCATACAGTAAAAGGAATAGGGTTCAATGTATAGGGAACCTAAGCTACAGCATGGTCTATGCGGGCTGTCATTTTGTGAGGCCTGTCATTTTGTAAGGCCGATACCCGTACGAGAATAAAATATTTTAGATAAAATTGCTGCTATCAATATTGCTAACTAGCAGATATTTCACATTTTGCCCTCAACTTTCCCTACATAGTAGATATTCAATTAAATCAAATCACTCTTGGTTTTCTCTTATATAGTCACAATACAATTCACAACAATATGGTCACAAATCTGATCAGGCTACCGTGTGAGCAAGATGACCACTCTTCGGTAAAGCTTGGAGTTCATTGGAATCGTAATCGTGATATTGTTCTGCAGTATAAGACAAGACGTGGGAACAAAATTTAATTGACCGTTCTAATTCAAATTTTAAAGGGTTTATATCTAGTATGAGTCAGCATATGTCTGTTCAAATCGCTTGATTTGTTGGCCCTATAGTCACACAAACTGCAGGGGTAAGGTTTCTCACCAGTGTGAGTTCGTTTGTGTTCAGTGAGGTGGGAATTTTGTCTTGCAGAGTAGGTACAAATATCACATTTATAAGGTTTCTCTCCCGTATGAGTCAACATATGTACCTTCAAAACCAGCGCTAGCCAGCGCTAACCAGCGCTAACCAGCGCTAGCCAGCGCTAACCAGCGCTAGCCAGCGCTAGCTGACGAGTAATATCGCAACTATATTGCGCTGGCCAGCGCTGGCTGACGAGTAATACTAATATCGAGCGTGCTAAATCACAGTCGATCTTCGAGTTCGAGATTGTTCTAAAAGGGCCCCCGATGGTTGTAACCAACTTCAATCGATGCAATGTATTTTCGGACGCTAATTCCGAATCAACCCCCATGACATAGGGTTAAAATGCTCTCCTGACGAGATATTGGCGAAAAACTGTATCGATCACGTGATATGACCGTATAAGGAAGTTAGTCTAATTTCTTGTTAGGGTTAGGGTTTCAGCATATGTTTTTGTTAAGGATTGGGTTAGGGTTAGGGTTGGGATCAGATTAGAGGGATAGGGTTTCGAAAAGTCGTTCAGAACCAGCTAGAGTCAGAAAATGGGTTTAAAAAGTCACGTGACAGTCGAGTGTAAAGTGATTAATCATCATCCGAGTAATATCGCAAGTATATGATTTTGATACATTGCGCTGGCTAGCGCTGGCCAGCGCTGGTTAGCGCTGGATATCGATGGCCAGCTCTGGCCAGCGCTGGCTATCGCTTAGCGCTGGCCAGCGCTAGTTGTCGCTATCCAGCGCTAGTTGTCGCTATCCAGCGCTAGTTATCGAACTGTTTTCTGCGATGGCCAGTTGCGCTGGCCATCGCAAACTATCGCGTGCGACAGTGTCGCATAGCCAGCGACAACTAGCGCTGGATAGCGACAACTAGCGCTGGATGGCGACAACTAGCGCTGGATGGCGACAACTAGCGCTAGATAGCGACAATTATCGAACATATATATTTTGCGCTGGCCAGCGTTATCCAGCGCTGGATAGCGACAACTAGCGCTGGATGGCGACAACTAGCGCTGGATAGCGCTAGTTGTCGCCATCCAGCGCTAGTTGTCGCGTTTTGACTATCGCAAAAGAACCTAATCCTACCCTTTTTAACTGCGGCAATGAAATCCCGGCCGTATATTACATATTCTAAACATTTTGTTGCATTAATGTAGTCTTAAACGAGTTTGTTGTCTTAATGTTGTTTTAAAGAATTTGTTGTTTTAATGTTGTCTTAAATGATTTTGTTGTCTTAATGTTGTCTTAATGTTGTCTTAATTGAGTTTGTTGTCTTAATGTTGTCTTAATGTTGTCTTAATGTTGTCTTAATATTTTATCCTATTTCGTTGTCTTATCGGTGTTTGTTGTCTTAATCTTGTCTTATTGTTGTCTTATTGTTGTCTTATTGTTGTCTTATTGTTGCCTTAATGTTGTCTTAATGTTGTCTTAATGTTTGCTTTAATGTTGCCTTAATGTTGCCTTAATGTTGTTTTATCGTTTGTTGTCTTATTGGTGTTTGTTGCGTTAACGTTGTCTTATTGTTGTCTTAATGTTGTCTTAATGTTGTCTTATTGTTGTCTTAATGTTGTCTTAATGTTGTCTTAATGTCCCATCGGTGTTCGTACAAGTTGCCGGTTTCTCTCCAGTGTGAGTAAACATATGTACCTTTAAATTGCTTGATTGGCTAGCCCTATAGTCACACAAACTACAAGGGTAAGGTTCCTCACCAGTGTGAGTTCGTTTGTGACTCATCAGAGTACTTTTAGTTGCAGCAGAGTAGTTACAAATATCACACTTTTGAGGTTTCTCTCCAGTATGTGTTCGTTTGTGAATCAACAGAGAACTTTTACATACAGCCGAGTAGTTACAAATATCACACTTGTGAGGTTTCTCTCCAGTGTGTGTAAACATATGTCTCTTCAAAACACCTGATGTTTTAGCCCTGTAGTCACACAAACTGCAGGGATAAGGTTTCTCTCCAGTGTGAGTTCGTTTGTGAGCAGTAAGATGGGCATTTTGTCTTGCAGAGTAGGTACAAATATCGCATTTATAAAGTTTCTCTCCCGTATGAGTCAACATATCTTTGTTTAATTGGCTTGATTTGTTAGCCCTATATTCACGCAAACTGTCAGTGTCAGATTTCTCTCCGGTGTGAGTTGACATACGCTTCTTTAAGTTGAGTCCAGACCCAGAAAGATTAGTATTTTCAATAGGATGAGAGATAACCACATTGCTATGAGGGTTGGTCTTCAGAGGATCAGGGACAGATTGTACATTAGAAAGAGATGAGTTAGGTTGATCGACTGACTCTTGACAAAGATCACATTGAAATTCTTTACAGTCTACAGGTTCAGTTTTTATGACTGACCTACAGGAATTCATATAACCCATTTCCTTCATATCTTCATTTATAGTTGGTTCAGTCTTGAAAAGAACATTACTAAATTCAGGGCAGCCATCCTCCAATTTACATGCACAAGATGATAAACTAGTAGCAGGTTGCTCGATCTTTATCATCTCTATTTTATGATTATCCTTGCGCAACTCTTTAGGTTTTTGTTCCGCCATTTCTGAAATAAAAGTGTGATTTTAACTATAATAGCAAAGTAGTAAAACTTATGACGGAAGGAGGGGGGGGGGGGGTTGAAAGTTGAAAAGTGACCACACAATATGCCAACCACCACTAATAATTGCCTGAGCAACATATAATTGCTCGATCAACATGGTCGAAGCTCAATAACAGTGTTGGACAGAAACTGATCATGTTATTAGCCCAGCACTTTATTTAGTTCATATATTACTTATTTACCTTAAGAATGGGGAGTATTGAAATTATTATAGGCTTTATAATAGTAAACATACAGTGCATTGGTGAGTAAAATATGGGAGCTGGGAAACGATCAATAAATACAGCAACTGGGAAAAGAACAAGACAATTTGTGAAGATATTGATAAAACAAGAAACATTCCATTCAATTGTAAAGCTAATCTGTGCTTTAAGTACAATCATGACAACCAATTTAATGATGTACTGAGTATAGGTTAATTTTCATCTTTATAGTTATACCTCGTCATTTCAAGCTAATGTTATAGATGATCGGGCAGCACTTTTAATAATTTAAATTATGTAAAGTCATAAAGTTGTACGTAAGATATAATTTTGTAGATAACAATTCATTTGATGTCTAGTCGACCATGCACCTTCCAAATATGTTCGATTAAATCACTTTTCGTTTTGCCTGTATAGCCACAGTAAATTTCACAGCCAAACGGTCGCAAATCTGGGTGGTTCTTTTTGTGAGCAACAAGAAGACTTTCCGTTTCCGCTGTAAATTCGCATAATTCACATTTGAAATGTATTTCAGTTTGACTATGAGTCGACATATTTGTCTTTAAACTGGTGGATTTACTGCATTGGTAAAGATTCTCTCCATCGTGTTTTCGTTTGTGAGTCACCAGGATACTTTTAGTTGCAGCTGGGTAGCTACAGATATCACACTTGTAAGGTTTTTTTCCAGAGCTAGAGTGCGTTCGTTTGTGACTCATCAGATTACTTTTAGTTGCAGCAGAGTAGTAACAAATATCACACTTGTGAGGTTTTTCTCCAGTGTGAGTCAACATATGTACCTTCAATATACTTGATTGATTAGCCCTATAGTCACACAAACTACATGGATAAGGTTTCTCTCCAGTGTGCGTCAACATATGTCTCTTCAATAAGCTTGATTGAGTAGCCCTATAGTCACACAAACTACAGGGGTAAGGTTTCTCTCCAGTGTGAGTCAACATATGTCTCTTCAATAAGCTTGATTGAGTAGCCCTATAGTCACACAAACTACATGGATAAGGTTTCTCTCCAGTGTGAGTTAACATATGTACCTTCAATAAGCTTGATTGATTAGCCCTATAATCACACAAACTACAGGGGTAAGGTTTTTCTCCAGTGTGTGTTCGTTTGTGAATCACCAGTTTACTTTTAATTTCAGCGGAATAGCTACAGATATCACACTTGTGAGGATTTTTTCCAGTATGAGCAAACATATGTACCCTCAAATTGCTTGATCTTTTAGCTCTATAGTCACACAAACTACAGGGATAAGGTTTCTCTCCAGTGTGAGTCAACATATGTATCTTCAAATCGTTTGATCTTTTAGCTCTATAGTCACACAAGCTACAAGGATAAGGTTTTTCTCTATTATGAGTTCGTTTATGAGTGGTAAGATGTTCACTTTGTCCAGATGAGCGTTTACATATAATATGAGGGTTGGTCTTCAGAGGATCAGGGACACATTCCCCGTCAGAACAGAGTGAACTGGAATGATCTACTGACTCTTGACAAAGATCACATTGAAATTGTTTGCAGTCCATAGGTTCAGTTTTTATGACTAAGCTACAGGAATTCATATTACCCACTTCCTTTATATCTTCATCTGTAGAAGGTTCAGTCTTGAAGGGCTCATTACTAAATTCAGGGCAGCCATCCTCCAATTTACATGCACAAAATGATGAGCTCGCAGCAGGTTGTTCGATCTCTTTCATCTCTGTTTTAGGATTGTCCCAATTCAACTCTTCAGGTTCTTGTTCCGCCATTTCTGAGAAAAATAATGTCGATAAAAAATAATCTTGGGTTTAAGTGACATAACTTGGACAAATCCAATTTAAATTTTCTAAACTGCAAGTGAAAGCAACAACTACATTTATAATATGCTTGCAAATCTTGAATTTCCCAAGAAACAGCTAGATGAAACAAATGGCAAAATTGATAAATTTATTATATCAAGATATTTGTATGACGTTCAGAATTTGATTAAAAATAAACAAGAAAAATATAAAGTACGAGAATAAAATATTTTAGATCAAATTGCTGCTATCAATATCGCTAACTAGCAGATATTTCACATTTTGCCTCAACTCTCCCTACATAGTACATATTCAATCAAATCAAATCACTCTTGGTTTTCTCGTATATGGACACGTTCATTGAAGTTTGAGGAAATTGGTAAATTTCTAAAACAGCGTTTTTGACGATAGTGGTTTAATTTTAACATATATTAATCTAGCGTGTTCATAAGTTCTGAACATTAGCCACGTGACCCATACTCCCATATGCACTGCTCAAAAATAAAATGTATTGCTCTTAGGCACTATTATGTAAAAAATGTCACATTTTTGGGACATTGTTTACCATAGCTGCCCAATTAGCATTTTTTGGTCTAAAATATAGTAGATTAGGTCAATCTAACAATTATGATACAATGTAGGCCTAAAGGGCAGTGATCGAACGGCTTTAAGGCAACATTTCGTAAACTTTGTCACACTCAGAATACGAGACCTCTTTTCTACTGTGAGTTGTCCTCAAAACCCTTTCAACTCATTATTTGATAGTTCTTCTGCCAATCATAGCCCTAAAATATGTTGTTTTGAAAAGTTAACAAATACATGCACTTGGCTATTGGGAAATTATGTAAATTCTGTCACATTATATGGAATTTGAAATTCTGGGTGAATTTCCGAAATCATTTATATCTGATTTTGGTTTGGAAGGCGGGAAAACTCTATATGAGGACAATACACGGATACAGTTGATTGAAGTATAGGGCAGTTGATGTAAACATTGTCACAAAATGATATGAAATCGTAAATGGACACGTTCATGTTGAAGTTTAAGGATATTGGTAAACCAAAAAAAAATAGCGTGTTCAGAAGTTCTGGACATTAGCCACGTGGCCCATACTTCCATATACACGGCTCAGAAATACAATTTATTGTTTTTAGGCACTATAATGTAAAAAATGTCACATTTTTGTGACTGTGTTAACCATAGCTGCCCAATTAGCATTTTTTGGTTTAAAATATAGTAGATTAGGTCATTCTAACAATTATGATACAACATTTGGCTAAATGGCAGGGATCGAACGGTTTTAAGGTAATATTTCGTAAACTTTGTCACACTCAGAATACGATACCTCTTTTCTACTGTGAGGTGTCCTCAAAACCCTTTCAAATCATTATTTGATGGTTCTTCTACCAATCATAGCCCTAAAATATGTTGTTTTGAAAAGTTAGCAAATACATGCACTTATTGGGAAACGATGTAAATTCTGTCACATTATATGGAATTTAAAATTCTGGGTGAATTGCCGAAATCATTTATATCTGATTTTGGTTTGGAAGGCGGGAAAACTGTATATAAGGACGATGCACGGATAGAGCTGATTCAAGTTAAGAGCAGTTGATGTAAAAATTGTCACAATAATAATAAGGGCAGTTGATGTAATGAAAGAAAATCTATCTAACTAATGCAATGGCTGATGTGACGAAATTTACATTTCTTGACCCTATTTTGAAGAAACATGCCTCGATTAGAATTCAATATTCTTCCAGGAATTATTAGTAGGTTATTATTGAGCAAATCAGAACTCAAGTTTAACAATTCTGAGTTTAATTTTACTAAGTTACCGAAATGTGACGAAATTCACTTTTCCTGCCCCAAAAGTATAATTTCAATGTGATGAAAAATGGGCATGGGTTTCTATATTTCCTTTATCTCTGATATAATCATTTCAAACTATAATTAGGACTGTTGATGTGAAAGAAAATGTATCTACATTTTACAATGACGTATGTGACGAAATTTACATTTCTTGACCCTATTTTGAAGAACCATACCCCAATTAGAATTCAATATTCTTCCAGGAATTATTGGTAGGTTATTTTTCAGCAAATCAGAACTCAAGTTTAACAATGCTGAGTTTGATATCACTAATCTACCGAAATGTGACGAAATTTACTTTTCCTGCCCCAACAGTATAATTTCAATGTGATGAAAAATGGGCATGGGTTTCTATATTTCCTGTATAAATCCATTCCAACTATAATAAGGCCAGTGATATGAAAGAAAATCTACCTAACTCATGCAATGGCTGATGTGACGAAATTTGGGGGGAATGCAACGTCAATTAATGTCAATTAATGTCAATTAATGTCAATTAATGTCAATTAATGTCAATTAATGTCAATGTCAGTTTTGCAAAATTTTGGAATACTGACATTAATTGACACGATATTTTTCGACCAGAGATTATGTAGTTCTACCATATTTTTAGCACTTTAGAACGTTTATATCATCAATTTATTCACTACTATCACATATGGAAATGTGAAATGTGAAAAAATTCAGATCATTAAACAATAAAACTAAAATAATACGGTTTCCCGAAATTTAATTTTCTTAAATGGGCGTGGCCATCCAAGGGCGTGGTTCTCAACATCATCAGAACTTAAAACCCACATTAAACGAAATGCCTTCATGACATTTATTTTTGAATAACGAATCTTGAACAGCTAACATTACTCCTTCATACTAAAAAAGCCGATTCTAGATATTTTACCTGTATAAGAAACCAATAAAATATGGGCGTGGCCGGTGGGGACCGAAGATGGAAGAGTTGGAAGCTGAAATTTTTTTGGTGGTCTTTGAACCTAAGGATCAACAGATAAGAACATATTCATAATTATTTAAGGACATTTTGTTTTTTTGAACCGATCTAACTTACATAGACGTGAATATCTTGAATATTTATCGAATAATGTCAATTAATGTCAATTAATGTCAATTAATGTCAATTAATGTCAATTAATGTCAATTAATGTCAATTAATGTCAATGTCAGTTTGGGGTTTTTATGGAATACTGACATTAATTGACGTTGCATTCCCCCCCGAAATTTACATTTCTTGCCCCTATTTTGAAGAATCATACCTCAATTAGTATATAATGTTACTTTATCACCATCACTATACAGTCGATAAATTAGTTATTTTGCCAACACGGAGCAAATAAAGTTATAATATTTTTTTTGTGACGAAATTTACAAATTTTTACCCTGTTCAGGTGTTGAAATTTATCCAATGTTAACATATCACTGCCATATAATAATTTATATGACCGGCGTATGGTTGAAATATTGTTAATTGATCCATAGTACGTAATATAGGGTTTTTAAGTTGGTATACTAATATTTACTCAATTTCACACATGTTGAGATATCATACAAATTTATGTGACTAAATTTACCTATTTCTGCCTTCTGTATTTGTATCTGCCTATAACAATGAAATATGTGAACAATTCCAAACACATTCAGCTCACAAAATAATGCTAGACTATTCGGCATTTCTTGTCAGGATGTCATAAACATCCCTCATATAAATTTCTTAAATGTGTGACGGAGTTTACATGGTGCTACCATTTAAGGAAAAAAGTCGCTAAATATGTAGATAATAGTCATATACAGCTATTCTATGAATTGGAAATTCGAAAATTTGGTCAAATACGGCAACAAGGGGTCCATATAAACTCCGTCACGTTTTTATAGTGTGACAAAGTTTACAACTCACTGCCGGCCGCATTTAAGCGATATCTTATCGTCTGATAAAGATATCGTTATGCGACAAAGTTTATCTAGAGGATGAAACGATTATCTTAGGGTTAGAGGGTTTATATAGTTTCATAGTGTGACACATTTTACATCATCGTGCCATTCAGTAGGGTCACTAATATTTACCAATATCCTCAAACTTCAATGAACGTGTCCATATAGTCACAATACAATTCACAACAATATGGTCACAAATCTGATCGGGCTACCGTGTGAGCAAGATGACCACTTTTCGGTAAAGCTTGGAGTTCATTGGAAACGTAATCGTGATATTGTTTTGCAGTATAAGACAAGACGTGGGAACAAAATTTAATTGACCGTTCTAATTCAAATTCTAAAGGTTTATATCTAGTATGAGTCAGCATATGTCTGTTCAAATCGCTTGATTTTTTGGCCCTGTAGTTACACAAACTACAGGGGTAAGGTTTCTCACCAGTGTGAGTTCGTTTGTGAGCAGTGAGATGGCCATTTTGTCTTGCAGAGTATGAACAAATATCACATTTATAAGGTTTCTCTCCAGTATGAGTCACCATATGTTTCTTTAATTGGCTTTGTTGTCCAGCCCTATAGTCACACAAACTACAAGGGTAAGGTTTCTCTCCAGTGTGAGTTCGTTTGTGAATCACCAGAGAACTTTTACTTGCAGCAGAGTAGTTACAAATATCACACTTGTGCGGTCTCTCACCAGTGTGAGTAAACATATGTGACTTCAAATCGCTTGATCTGTTGGCCCTATAGCCACACAAACTGCAGGGGTAAGGTTTTTCTCCAGTGTGAGTTCGTTTGTGAGCAGTAAGATGAGAATTTAGTCTTGCAGAGTAGCTACAAATATCGCATTTATAAGGTTTTTCTCCAGTATGAGTAAACATATGTCTCTTTAAATCGCTTGATTGGTTAGCCCTATAGTCACACATACTACATGGATAAGGTTTCTCTCCAGTGTGAGTCAACATATGTATCTTCAAATCGCTTGATTGGCTGGCTTTATAGTCACACAAACTGCAGGGATAAGGTTTCTCTCTATATCTAGTGTGAGTCAACATATGTATCTTCAAATCGCTTGATTGGCTGGCTTTATAGTCACACATACTACAGGGATAAGGGTTCTCTCCAGTGTGAGTCAACATATGTATCTTCAAATCGCTTGATTGGCTG